CCAGTTATAAGCTCTGTGATATCAGAAGCAACCAGTGAGCACCAGCTGCTCTGTCACAACTCTCATGTAGCTGAGAGCCAAGATGAGGAAGAATACCAGCATGGAGACTCAGGATCAACTAGAAACACAGAGCTTCAAGCAGAGAAAAGACATCATGAAAGTGAAATGAACAGTAACAGTCCACACACCTCTGCTGTGATAAACTTAAATACAGGTAAAAAGCCTTTAAAATGTGACATATGTGGGAAAGTTTTTGAGTACAAGTCAAAATTGCAGAGACACCTGAACAGCCACACAGGTGAGAAGCTGTTTTCTTGCAAAACATGTGGGAAAGGAATCAGTGACACATCAGCATTGAGCACTCATATAAGAACCCACACAGGTGAGAAGCCGTTCCTTTGCAAGACCTGCGGGAAAAGATTCAATGATGCATCAGTATTGAAAAGTCACATTAGAATCCACACAGGTGAGAAGCCACATACTTGTAAAATATGTGGGAGAGGTTTCAGACGTAATGGTGACTTGTTAGTCCACATGAGGACTCATTCAGGTGAGAAGCCGTATACTTGCAAAACATGTGGGAGACACTTCAGATCTAGCAGTAACTTGGCAGTCCATATGAAAATCCACACAGGTGAGAAGCCGTATCTTTGCAAGACTTGCGGGAAAAGGTTCAGACAAAACTATCGTATGAAAAGACATTTAAAAACCCACACAGGTGAGAAGCCATTTATATGCAAAACATGTGGGAGAGCTTTTAGATGGAAAAGTTACCTGGCTATCCACATGAGAATCCACACAGGTGAAATGCCGTACGTTTGTAAGACCTGCGGGAAAAAATACAATAACATATCAGCATTGAAAAAACACGTTAAAATCCATGCAGACGAGAACCAGCTTTTCTGAAATATGTGGGAAACACTTCAGATATAGCAATAACTTGACAGGCCACATGAGAACACACACAGGTGTAAAGGTGCATAACTTGAGCACAGGTTCCAGTTGAAGTCACACATATACAGGAGAGAGACGGTTTACATGCAAAACATGTGGCAGAGCTTTCAGAGGCCTGTTCCATAAAGCATGCTAAGAAAAGTGGGGAGTGAAGTCCAAATCCTGAATTTTAATTGAAATTGCAGGTCTGGAAAAGTTCAACTAGTGAGATAAAGAACAAAAGGAGGAAACTGCTTTAAAGTTTGAATGAATTTTATACTTGCAAGAGTCATGGAAAACCTGGAAAAGTCATGAAATTAGTCAAAATCATTATAAGTCACAGAACTTGTTTGTGTATAGTGAAATTATTAGAATCATCTTCAGTGGATAACCCTCCATATAATGTAACATAATGGCAAATTCATTTTCTGCAGCTGGCGTCTTAATGTAGCTTTAATATGCGTCGATGTGTGACAATGTTTGTTTACCATCAGGTGTGTTTTGTCATTTTCTCCCTCAGTTTGTCTCTCCCTTCCTGTGTGCCAGTTATGTTTGCATAGAGTTTGAATCTGATGTTTGAAAAAACGGCGGGCAAGTGGGGAAAGAAAAACAAAATTCTTCCTGAAGAGTCCTTGAAAAGTCATGAAAAAGTTTGGAAATATTGTCCATGAAAATGTGAGCAGAACCTGTAATTAAAAGTATGACTGATTTTGCAGTGAGCACAGTAATAAACTGATTCCAGAAGATTTGTCCTGTTGCTGTGATCTTTTGTCAGATTGTCTACAGGTCCTTTGAAATGATTTAAAGTTTTCTTAATATAAGGCCTCAAAAAGTTTAAAATTGTCTTAAATTCAGATTCAATGGTTAAATATTTTTGGTCACATTACCATGAAAATGTATCCAGCCCGACAGACCCAATGACAGTTTACAATCATTGTGCAGACCGAAGAAAAATTTTTTTTCCTTGCTGTATTTCTATGAATATTGCAATAATAAGTAGCATTCATGACAGCCATGAGATGATTTTAAATTCCATATAAGGTGGCATTAAAAATGTCTTAAAAAGTCTAAAATTTACCTTGGTTATATCTGCAGACACCGTGTTCTTTGGTGCATATGAGCAACTTGTCAACAGTGACACCAGAAGGTGGGGAAAAACTGTTTTTACCTTGTGCCTGTCACATCTGTGATCTGTGCCTGTAGACTGAATGAGGAACTAGAAAAGCACTCAGAGTGCAGACCTCCGCCAAGTAAGTGATATTCCCTCCCCCTCTGCATCAGATTTTGCAGCCTGCATCACAATTAGGTTATTTGCATCACTATCATTATTAGGTTATATACGCCTTCATCATGGAGACACTGTGGTGTATTTATTTCATTTTTGTTTTGTACCAAGGCAGAATATAATATGTTTTTTGTATTTTTCACTTTCTTTTTTTCCAAAACAGAACATTAATTTCAACTTTAGAATTAAAACATTTCAAGTAGAACGATATGTGCTTTCCGGCCACCAGATGGCGCTATTTTCACCATCTTTAGAAATTGGAATTGGTGCTGAGGCTGTCAGACGATAGACTTTATTTATTATTTTATCCACTTTGCTCCAACCGATCACCACCAAAATGTTATCATCTATTCCTTGTCCCATTATCCACCTTTCCTGAAAATTTAATCAAAATCCGTTCATAACTTTTTGAGTTATTTTGCAGACAAACAAACAAACAATCAAACAAACAGACAAACAAACAGACCAAAGCCGGCGAAAACATAACCTCCTTGGCGGAGGTATGATTATCTACACACTCTTGTACAGTAGGTGCATACAGTGAACGTTGCTTGCAATCCGCCATTAAATAGAAAGAAGAAGAAGAAGAAGAAGAAGAAGAAATGTAAGCCTAGCAGCTGGAAAAATGCTCTGATCCTACCCTTTGTTAAACCTGGTAAAGACCCAGCTAGTGCAGGAAGCTATCGACCAATAGCTTTAACATCACACTTGTGTAAACTGATGGAAAAGATCATTGTTAGGAGATTATCATATTATTTAGAACAAAGAGGACTGCTTAGCTCATGCCAAAGTGGATTCCGTAAAGGAAGATCTACAGTTGATGCTTTGGTGAACGTTAGTAATGAGGCGGACAAAGCAGTTAGTATGAAAGAGTTCATGTCTACAGTGTATTTTGACATTGAGAAGGCATATGACTCTATGTGGAGAGAGGGACTGCTAATCAAAATGTTTAAAATGAGTATTGTTGGAAGAATGTATCACTGGATTCTAGACTTCCGATCCAATAGGACATTCCGAGTTCAAATTGGGGATGCTATTTCAGAGGAGTTTGAAATAGTAAATGGTATTCCCCAAGGTAGTGCTATTAGCCCAATCCTGTTTAACATAATGATAAATGATATCTTTCAAAATGTTGGTGGAGATATTGAGTCATCACTCAATATCAGATGACGGGGCGATATGGAAAAGAGGGAGAAATATCATCCATGTGATTAATTGCATTCAGAGGGCTATACAACAGGTAGAGAGATGATCTTACGATTGGGGTTTCAAGATGTCTGTTACAAAGTCTTGCTACATGCTCTTTACCAGGAAAAGAAAGCTAAGAAATATACAGCTTAAATTATATGGGCAAAACATGGAAAGGGTAGGTGCGTTCAAATACTTAGGATTGTGGTTTGATGAGAAATGTATATAGAGAAATCATGTTAAACAGGTGGAGACTAAATGTAAAAAAGTGTTGAATCTCATGAGATCAGTGGCGGGATATGCATGGGGACCAGATAAGCAATCTTTAATGGATATCTATAGTGCCTTAATATGATCTAGCCTTGATTATGGTTGTATGGTGTATGGAGCTGCAGCTGTTTTGGAAAAGTTAGACAGAATTCAGTTCAGAGCTATAAGAATCAGTATTGGTGCAGTTAAAACAACTCCAACTAATGCGTTACTGGTGGAAGCAGATGAATTACCATTACACCTAAGACCATTAAAGTTGTTGTTAGCCTACTGGGTTAAACTAAATGGATCTGGAGGAAAAACAATCTGCAGAAACGGTACTTTCTGATTGCTGGGAGTATTCACAACAGCATAAAGGGAGAGGGTTTGGATGGAATATCAAGTCTATAGCAGGAAAATATGGATGAAATAATTTGAAATTTGGACCTGGTGTTGTGTGGGGCAGTGTTCCTCCTTGGATACTCCCTGTACCCAATGTAAATTTACAACTTGTAGAACAGAAGAGCGAGTGGAGCAAGATGAATATGGATAACATCAGGTATTATGTTGAGGATTATCTGAAGAGGAATTATTACAACTTTATCCCCATTTTTACAGATGGGTCTAAAGATCCAGAGAGTGAACAAGTAGGAACAGGAGTATACATACCAGAGTTTAATGTAAGTATTTGTAAAAGAATCAATAATAGATTGTCTGTATTTACTGCAGAAATAACAGCCATAATACTAGCATTACAATGGATAGAAGAAGTTAGGCCTGAGAGAGTGGTCATTTGCTCAGATTCCACTGCAGTTCTTCAGAGCTTAAATACTAATGAATCAATGAGAGAGGAACTGGTAATGGAAATATTAATGATAATGTGGAGACTACACAGAAGTGGAATTTTTGTACAATTTTGTTGGGTTCCTGCACATGTAGGTGTTAATGGTAATGACAAAGCAGACAATATTGCCAAAGGAGCTTTTAGATTAAGTAATGAAGAGATAATGAAAATTCCCTTTGGAAAAGGTGAGGCAAAATAAATAATCAGAAAGGCAGTGATAGATTGGCAGAAGAAGTGGGATACGGATGTTAAAGGGAGACACTACTATGAAATGCAAAAGTCAGTTAACACAAAGGTTTTAAAGGGAAATGCAGAAGAGAAGAAGTAATCATTTCCAGGTTAAGACTTGGACACACTAGTTTAAAATCAACTCTGTATCTAATGGCAAAGTCTGCGTCTCATAAATGTGATAGGTGCGATGTTCCAGAGAGTGTTGAGCATGTTATTTTGAAATGTAGTGAGTATGAGTTAGAAAGGAACAGGTTGCGTGATAGGATGTATGAGCTGGAACGGGAATGGAGTTTGGAAGGAATTTCAGGGATGAGTGGGAAAATGAAAGACTGTTACAGGGAAGTATTTAGTTTCCTCAAAGACACAGATTAGAAAATAAAATATAGAGTTTAACCGATTTATTTATTTTTTCCTGTCAGAATGTAACCTGAAGTACATACCCTGAGACTACACACTCCGGTACAGTAGGTGGCGGTATGCACCTTAAAACGTTGGTTGTAATTCGCCATTAAATGAAGAGAAGAAGAAGGAAGTGTAACATCCAGCGGAAGTACAAAACCAAACAAAGGCGGCAGTCGCGTTTCCCTAATGAGTGAGTTAACTTCGGGAGGTTAATCTATGAGTTAAACCTCGAGCCACATTTACTGTAGCCTACATTAGACAACAATGTGTTCAGTTGAGTCTTTGAGAGAGTTTGTCAACGAGCGACTAACTGCTGCTGCTGAAGAAATATTGGGAGTTTTTCAAAGAAGCATCGTCGAGTACGAGGAAGAGATCGATCGTCAGCGCAGACTGTTGGATATCGTTTTGAAGCCTGAAATAAAGTTACACAGGACAGGTGGGTGAAAGCTAATTGAAGTAATTTACTGGCATGTGTGTATATTTGCTGTAGCATGACATTAGTATGCTGTTGGTGTTGTTGTGTGTCCCTCCAGAGCTCCCACAGCAACATGTGTGTAAGGAGGAGGAGGTTGTCCCTGAGCAGCAGCTCTGTATTGAGGAGAGGAAGTCCAGTGTGGACCAAGAGGAGCCAGAGCCTCCA